ATTGCTGTTAATTTCTGTCTCCTGATCTGTCAGTATTTGCTTTATGTATTTAGACACTATGATGCTGGGTACACTTATATTTATAAATGTCGTATCTTCCTATCAAATTGATCCTTTTATCATTATGTGATGACCTTCTTTGTTTCTAGAAACAGTTTAAGAGTTAAAGTTTATTTTGTCTGATATCATTATAACCACCCTTGCTTGTTGTCATTTTCACTGCATCTTTTCTCATTCTTTCATTTTCAACTTATTTATTTATTTAAATCTGAATTGAGTCATTTGTAGACAGCATATTGCTGGATCTCATTGTTTTTTCTCCATTTAGTTACTTTTAATTCATGAGTTTAGCCCATTTACATGTAAAGTACTTAATGATAGTTAAGGACTTACTGTCACCATTTTTTTGTTTTCTGTTTTAAAGTTGCTTTGTTCCTCTCTTCTCTTGCTGTCTTCCTTTATTATTGATTTGTTGCAGTAGTAGTTTGCTTTCATTCTTTTCTCTCTTTTTTTTTTGTATTTATTATAGGTTTTTACTTTCTGTTTAACTCAAGGCTTGTATAAAATATGTACTTAAAATCTTAATTTTAAGTTGATAACTTCTACTGCATACAAAAACTCTACACTTGTACTTTCTCCTAAAATTTGTGCTTTTGCATTCAGAGTTTTCTTCCTTTTGCATTGTGTATCTATTAACATTATTTTATGTTTTAATGTTTATATTAAGGTTAAAAGTAATTTTCATACCACTATTACAGTGTTACATGAATTTGTATTTGTCTATATATTTACCTTTACCAGTGAGACTTATGTATACATATGATTTTACATTATTGATTAGCATGTTTCCATTTCAATTTTAAAAAATCTCTTAAGCATTTCTTGTAAGGAAGTTCTAATGGTGATGAAATCTCCATTTTTGTTTGTCTCTCTATTTTTAAAATATAATTTTGCTGTTATATTATTCTTTGTTGGCAGTTTGTTTCTTTCAGTACTTTAAATATACATTCTACTCCTGTTCTGCAAAGCTTCTGCTGAGAAATCTGCTAATAGTCTTTTGGTGGTTTCTTCATGTGTAATAAATCACTTTTCTTTTGCTTCTTTCAAAATTCTCTCTCTGTCTTTGACAATTTGATTATACAGTCATGTGCCATATAACGACATTTCAGTCAAAGATGGACTATATCTATATATTACTGTGGTCTCACAAGCTATAACAGAGTTGAAAAATTCCTATCACTCAGCGACATCATAGCTTTCATAATGCCTTAACACAATGCATTACAATATGGTAATGTCCCGGGCCTTCACTTTTATTCACCGCTGACTCAATGATCCACTTAAAGCATCTTCTAGTATTGTTAACTTCGTTTCATGTTAAGTTTCCTAAACAGGTGTACCATTTTTTTTATCTTTTAATCTTTATTTTTACTTATAGATACAGTAAACATATCTATGTTTAGATATGTTTAGACACACAAATACTTACCATTGTGTTACAAATGCCTACAGCATCCAGTAAAGTAACATACTATACAGATTTATAGCCTAGGAGCAATAGGCTATACCATATAGTCTAGGTGTGTAGTAGGCTATCCCATTTAGGTTTCTGTAAGTGCACTCTGTGTTATTCACATAACAAAAAATTTACCTAAAGATGCATTTCCCAGAATGTATCTCTGTCATTAAACAACACATAACTGTAATGTGTCTCAGTGTAGTCTTCTTTGGATTGATCCTATTTAGAGATTTTTAAATTTCATTAATTTGGATGTCAATTTCCCTCTCTAGATTTGGAAAAATTTCAGCCATTATTTCTTTAAATGAACTTTCTTCCTCTTTCTCTTTTCTCCTTTTGGGACTCTGAAAATTCATGTAGTTTCCTTGCTGGTATATCATAAATCCTATAGGTATTCTTTCTGCTTTTTCATTATTTTTCTTCTTTCTCCTCTTGCTGGAATATTTCAAATGACATTTGTTCCAGCTTATTGATTCTTCTTTCTAATTGAGTTATTATTGAAGTTCTCTACTGTATTTTTCACTTGTTTCATTATATGTTTCAGCTCTAGAATTTTTGTTTGGTTCTTTTTCATCCTTTCTATTTATTAAACTTCTCATTTTGTTCATTTATTATTTTCCTAATTTCATTGATTTATTTAATTGTGTTTTTTATAGTTTGCTCAGATTCCTTAAAACAATTTTTTTCAATTCTTTGTCAGATACTTCATAGATTTCTATTTATTTGAGGTTAGTTACTAGAAAGTTATGTGTTATTTTGGTGGTGATATTTTTCTTATTTCTCCATGTTCCACACAGCCTTGCATTGCTGTCTTCACATCTGAAGCAGCAGGCACCTTTTTCAGGCTTTATAGACTCACTTAAGTGGGGAAAGGTCTTTACCTCGGATGGATGCAAGTACATTGGCTGGATGGGGTGCAATGGCTTTGGTTCTAGGGATTACAGTGGTAGCTCCATATCTAGGGATGGAAGGGGAATGTCAGTGTTGACTTTGTACAGCTCCATCAGCTGAAGTCACCACTGGCAAACACTGTGAGAGTATTTTTCAGACAATGTTGGTATGCATGGTGGTAGTGGAGGCTGCTGGAGTCCTCAGGGGCGAAGGCTACTGGGGACTATCTGCCCTGCTCTTTCCCCACAGGGTGAAGGTATAGTCTAGTGTATCCTTCTGGGTAGCAGGATCTGGTATACAGGTGTGCTCATGGCAGCAGTGTTCATTTATATACTTTGAGAAGCCTCAAGAACTTATCATTTGTTTATCATCATCATCTGCTTACCTTCGTGACATCAAGAAAAGGACAAATTCCAACTTCTGCATGGTCAAGCATAGTTTGTACTCCAATTCAGTTTCTTTAGCATCAAATATAACATCATACACTTTTGGAAACCTAATACTTTCCTTTATCACAATGATAGACATCTGGAGTTAAGCCAGATTATATCTAGCTAGGAAAATTAACTATATGCTAAGTTAAAAATTAGGTCACTAGTATATCTCTCAAAATGTTTTATGTTATCTAATTATAAAGAAACAACATAAAAATTTTGTATAAAGGCTTTTTCAGAAACTGATATACCTGAGAAAAACATGACAAAGTTACTGCTTGAGCTTGCACTAATATTTATTGGTACAAAAATATTTTTAATTACAAGAGGCTTCCTCTCAAATGTTGGTCACTTTCAAGACACCATAAGATTAGAAAGTCAGTATGAGTTAAGAGGTGTTAAGACTAGGAAACTAATCATTGTTTATCACTGTATCTGCATCATGAAAAAACAACTTTTACTTAAGGGGTTTGATAAAATAAAATTCCTGGTATGAAACATCACTAAAGTGGAGGAAGACTGTGAAAAGGGCAAACACTTTGGACTTAACTAGACATAGCCTAAAACTTAGCTCTGCCAGTTATCAGATTTCTGACTATGGGAAAAGCTAAACCACTCTGTGCCTCTGTTTCCTGATCTGTAAAATGGGAATACTGAAAATGCCTTTTTTTTTTGGTGGGGGGATTTGGTAAGAATTAAATGAATTAACATGGGTGATAAAAAAGATGAATAAGTTCTGGGATTTAATGCACAGTATTGTGATTATAGTTAACAGTAATGTGTTATATACTTGAAAGTTGCTAAGAGAGTGGATCTTAAATGTTCTCACCACAAAAAAAAAAAAAGATAATTATGTGATGTGATGAAGATGTTAGCTAACACTGTGGTAGTAATAATATTGTAATATATAAGTATATCAAATAAGCATATTATACACCTTAAACTTACACAATGTTATATATCAATAATATTTAAATAAAAAATTAAACGAAAGAAAAAAACATGGGAGATACTTAGTACATAGTAACTGATAATTCTTTCCTATTGCTGTTATTCTTTTGCTTAGTGTCAATTTTAGTCTTATCTGTGCATTACTTCTACTTACCATGAATCCATTAAAAGTATGCATTTTCCCATTATTCCCCACAGTAAGCACTGGTTGAAGACTAATTCTCATTCTATAATTTGCTGTAAACATGATGAGGAGAGCTACACTGTATTAAAGTCAGTAGTTTGTCATACTGACTTGATTTAATAATTTCCCTCTTTAATTCCTCCTTGCTTTTCTCTTCAAAATAAAGCCCCACAATGCTTGTATTTCTAGGAGCCTAAAAGAAGATAAGACTGCTACCAACCTGTCTATCACATAATATTAAATTTACCTGCAGAGCTATATTGGAAATGTATTGTACCTAAGACCATTTTTGATTGACCTTATTATTTCTCACTGAAATTAAATTGTATGTATGTATTTGTTTATTTGTCCTTCCATACATGTTGATAGTTATAATCCCACTTAATTCCAAAAGAGATGTGAGGAGTGGTCTTATGATCAAAGCCGAGGTATAATTATCACAAGATAAAGAAGAAAAAAAAAGTAGTAAGAAGTGAGGAGACATTCCAATCCAATACAGGCACCTTTCTCTTATATCCTTTTCTTCCATCTTTCTCCTTGCTTACTCTTTGTTCTACTTTTCATTAGCCCCTGCCAATAAGACATTGATTCTGCCAGCACCTTCACTTAGTTAGGGAGGTGGAACTCCAGCTAGAGGGACTCAATCCCAGTCAAGATGATTCAGAACTGCCATTTAGTTGGTAAATTATTTAGCGAAATTTGAAATAAGAAGCCTGGGATGAAACTGAAGTGAGCAGACTATAGCAAGCAGGAGGTGCAATAGATAGCATTATAAAAATTAGTATTTAATCCTTTTACAAAAAATAATGTAGATAATTCAATGTTTCCTCAAGTGGGATTCTGATTTTTAATGGTTTTCTAGTTTCAATGTACAAGTTGGAGGTAGGGTTAAGCATACTTCAGTAGTAACTGCTTACAATCAATGTATACATATTATTCTCTCCTTTCCCCTCAGCTCTCCTCTCTCCTGTCCCCAAATAAATCAATGAGTCACCAGCCTTAGATTCCTGAAGACACTTACCTGTGTTAGAATTAAAGTCATCAGGCTCTGATTCAGTCCCATTTTGGCTTCCATTTCCCTGAAGAGTGTTCATAGCAATAAGCTTCATCTTCTGCAGCTTCATTGCCTCAGCCATTGCTGCAGCTGTTATACCTAAAACCAGAATCATCCATTTTAAAATGAGGACCACTTAATGTAATTGAAAGCTGGATACCAGGCCTATGCTGCATAGCATAAACCAAAAGTAAGCCCAAATATAACTTATAAATAATATTCTTTAACGAAGTAATTTTCAACTTCTGTAATCACTTCATCTTACAATGGACTGTTTGAAAATCTAAAAATTCATTAAACATGGGTCAGATCCCCAGTACAAAATACAGAGAAAATAAAGAGAGAAATGTGAAAATTGAGAAATTTCCAAACTCTTGCTAATGTGTTCTTGTATCTAAGAGTTCTGGACAATTGTTTTAGACAAAACTCACCGTGAACTCAATTCCACCTAAAACAACATTGTCAGAGGAAACACTCTGAAATGCTAGCAGGAACTACTTCCTAGGGAATATTTTGTTGGCATTTCTGCTGAAGGATGGGCTCTCTTGCCTGTGAAAGTCAACTTAGAAGGGAGGGGGAGAAGGGTGGAAAGAAAAAGACTAGTAGTCTTTCTACTAGTTTACCCTCCTCATACATATACACTGAGGGACCAAATAAATAAAAACATGGCATGCTGGCCCCTGTAGTATAATTAAATTGTTTTGTATTAATATATGGTAATTATTTTTTTTAATTCTATATAATGGTACAAAGAAGTAGGAATAAAACCCCAAAAGAAAAATCATGAGTCTTTTGTTTGAAATTCTTTTTCTTAGGAAGTGTATATAAGGCACTACCATAAAAATATATGAGGACATGGGTACTAAAAATAGAACAACCTATATTCCAACAATGCCCACTAAAAAGTCTAGTGAACTTATTTATTTTTAGATAATGTTAAAATTAAAAAAAAAAAAAAAAAAAAAATCTAGCAGATTTAAAATAATATTTTAAAATTCGGTGAAATCTATTCTCCTAGGCACATGTAAATTGAGGGAAAAAAGGCATACATTGGTTGTTGCAAAAAAAAAAAAACATAACTGCTATTATTAGAAGAATCTGATTTTAAGATGTAAGCTGGATCTTTTTCAAAGGTATACAGGGAAATAAGTACAGCCTAGAATATCTAACTATGCATCCTTGGGAGAAACATTAAGGTTTTATTTTGCCTCTCTATATTCTTCATAATGCACAGAATACTCAAAATAAAGCAAACTTTTCACATAAGTTTGCAAAGAAAAGATCTGAAAGAAAATTGTTTTAAGTCTCTGAATTGATGATATACATTTGTACATTTTCTAGATGGTCTCAGAGATTTTCTAGCCATAGGTAGCTTTACTGAATTTCACTCCTTTAAATGGGAAGAAAAAAAAAATGATGGCAATGATTTAAACAAAGGGACTCTACTTAGGACTGCCAGGACTCAGTGCCTCACAACCAAAAATGTATTGAGATAAGTTTCCATAATTTATATCAGTTCCTCTGACTAGCAGTTCAAAACTGGATCCAGAATATGATAATTATTGAATTAATAGTGTTTCATTACTGGAAGTATAAATAGTAAGTATTTAGAACAAAATATGGAGTCTTACTTTACGAAAAATAAAAGTCAACAAAATACCTTATAGACAAGAAATTCCAAATAAAATGTGTATCTCATACACTGACGCTAAGAGAGTGAATAAACAAGAGTCGTTTCATATATTTATTTTTTATGGTGACATTGGTTATGAAATTCAATAAGTTTCAGCTATAAATTTAACAACAAAACACATTATATGTTTGTGTGTGTGTATGTGTGTGTGTATATATATATATAAAAATTTATAATTTGCGATTTATTTATTTATTTATTTATTTATTTGTTTGTTTGTTTATTACGTTGACATTGCGTAATGAACTCCAGTATGTTTCAGGTGTACAATTCAATAGTAAGGAGCATATATACATTGCATTGTGTGTTCACCACCCATAGTTAGATTTCTTTCTGTAACCACATATTTGACCCCTTTTACCCCATCTATCTCCCACTTCCCCTCTCCTCCTCCTACCCTCTGGTAACCACTAGTCTATTGGCCATGTCCATGAGTCTGTTTGACTTAGCATGCTTATCTCAAGGTCCATCCATGTTGTCGCAAATGACAGTATTTCATCTCTTCTTATAGTTGAGTAATATGCCATTGTATATATGTACCATAGCTTCTTTAAATAGTTGTCTATTGTAAGATACTTCAGTTGCATCTATGTCCTGACTACTGTGAATAATGCTGCTATGAACATCAGTGTGCAAATATCTTTTTGGATATCAGTTTTCAAGTCTTTGGAGTAAATACCCTGTAGAGGGATTGCTGGATCATATAGTAGATCAAATCTTAGTTTTCTGAGGAACCTCCATACTGTTTTCCATAGTGGCTATACCAATTTGCAGTCCTACCAGCAGTGTATAAGGGTTCCTTTTTCTCCAGATCCTCTCCAACATTTGTTCTTACTTGTCCTGTAGATTATAGCTAATCTAACAGGTGTGAGATGGTATCTGTTTGTGGTTTTGATTTGAATTTCCCTAATAACTAGTGATGTTGAGCATCTTTTCAAATATTTCTTGGCCATTTGTATGTCCTCTCGGGAGAAGTATCTGTTCAAGTCCTCCACATATTTTTGATTGGATCGTTTGTTGTTGTTGTTATTGAGTTGTATGAGTTCTTTGAATATTTTCATTATTAAGCCCTTATCGGAGGTGTTGCTTGCAAATACATTTTCCCATTCAGATGGTTGTCTCTCTGCCTTGTTGATGATTTCTTTTGCTGATCAGAAGCTTTTTAGTTTGGTGTAGTCCCATTCATTTATTTTTGCTTTTACTCCCCTTGCTTTTGAGGTAAAATTCATAAAATCCTCTTTAAGTCCAAGGTCCTTGAGTTTAGTCAAGGTCCTTGAGTTTCATTCCTATGTTTTCTTCTATGCATTTTATTGTTTCGGGTCTTATATTCAGGTCCTTAATCCATTTTGAGTTAATTTTGCTTGGTGGTGATAGACAACAGTCTCATTTCATTCTTTTGCAGGTGGCATTCCAGTTTTCCCAGCACCATTTATTGAAGAGGCTTTCCTTTCAGCACTGTATGATTTTGGCTTTTTTGTTAAAAAATATTCCCCCATGTAAATATGGATTTACTTATGGACTCTTGATTCTGTTCCACTGGTCTGTATGTCTATTTTTCTGCCAATACCATGCCATTTTGATTACTGTTGCTTTGTAGTATAATTTGAAGTCAGGCAGAGTGATGCCTCCAGTCTCCATTTTTTTTTTCCCCCTCAGGATGGCTTTGGCAATTGCTGTCTTTTGTGCTTCCATACAAATCCAATCATTTTTGTTCTATTTCTTTTTAAAAAATGCTAATGGGATTTTGATGGGGATTGTATTAAATCTGTGTAATGCTTTAGGTAATATGGTCATTTTAACTATGTTGATTCTTCCAATCCAAGAACGCATAATACCTTTCCATTTCTTTGTATCTTCTTCAATTACATTTAATAAGGACTTATAGTTTTCATTATATAGGTCCTTCACATGTTTCATTAGATTTATTCCTAGGTATTTTATTCTTTTTGTTACAATTGCAAAAGGAATTGCATTTTCCACTTCTTTTTCTGACACTTCATTATTAGAATATAGGAAAACTATGGATTTTTTGAACATTGGCTGTGTATGCAGAAACTACTGTATTTGCTTTTTGTTTCTAGTATTGTTCTTTTGGAGTCTTTAGGATTTTCTATATAGAGAATCATGTCACCTGCAAATAGTGACAGTTTGACTTCTTCATTTCCTATTTGGATGCCTTTTATATCTTTCTCTTGCCTGATTGCACTTACTAGGACCCTCTGTGTTGTATTGAATAACAGTGGCAATAGTGGACAGCCTTGCCTTGTTCTTGATGTTAGAGGGAAGGTTTTTAGTTTTTCACCATTAAGTATAATGTTGGCTGAGGATTTGTCATACATGGCCTTTATTATGTTACGGCACTTTCCTTCTATACTGATTTTGTTTAGTGTTTTGATCATAAATGGATGTTTGACCTTGTCAAACGCTTTTTCTGCATCTATTAATATGATCAAATGATACTTATTTTTTTAAAATTTGTTTATGTGGTGTATCACATTAATCGATTTGCGTATGTTGAATCAACCCTATGCCTCTGGGATAAAGTCTACTTGATTGTGGTGTATAATCTTTTTAATATGTTGCTGTATTCTGTTCCTTAGAATCTTATTTAGGATTTGTATATCTGTGTTCATGAGAGATATTGGTCTGTAGTTTACATTTTGTGTGTTATCTTTATTAGGTTTTGGTATCAGGGTAATATTTGCCTCATAAAATGAGTTGGGAAATGTGGCTTCCTCTTCAATTTTTTGGAAGAGCTTGAGGAGACTAGGTATTAAATCTTCTTTGAAAGATTGGTAGAATTCACTGATGAAGCTCTCTGGTCCTGGACTTTTACTTTTTCATATGTTTTTGATGATTGTTTCAATTTCCGTACCGCTGATTAGTCTGTTTAGATTTTCCAGTTCTTCATTCACTCTAGGAAGGTTGTATTTTTCTAAGTACTAATCCATTTCTTCTAGGCTATTAAATTTGGTATTATATATTTTTCATAGTATTCTTGTATGATTCTTTATATTTCTGTGGTGTCTGTTGTGATTTCTCCTCTTTCATCCCTGATTTTGTGTATTCGTGTCCTTTCTCTTTTTTCTTTAGTGAGTCTAGCCAGGGGTTTGTCAATTTTATTAACTCTCTCTCTCTCTCTCTCTCTCTCTCCCCCCAGCCCCCGCCCCGCTCTCTTTTTCGGTGAGTCTAGACAGGGGTTTGTCAATTTTATTAACCTTCTCAAAGAATCAGCTCTTTGTTGCATTTTTTATTCTATCATTTTTTGTTGTTTTCAATTTCATTTATTTCTGCTCTAAATTTGGTTATTTCTTTCCTTCTGCTGACTTTAGGCTCCATTTGTTCTTCTCATTTTAGTTTTTTAAGATGAAGCATTAGGTTAATGTTTGGGCCCATTCCTGTTTTT